TCCTATAAATACAACAGTCGTTGCAATAAAACAGATTAACTTTTTCTATTTCTTTCTCTTCTCTTTATTTTTTTCGCTATTTATTACCGCCTTACTTTTGAAAAATCCCCTTTTTTTGAGCGCATGTTATCTGTATTCCTTAGTGTGCTATCACCACTGCCGCTAAGGATTTGCCAAAAAAATTATTTGTCAAATCGCAGTAACGATGTACGTAATTTATTCATTTCACTTCGCGGAACAATGATTTGATTAGAAAAAGGCTTCAGTTATCTTAGGTCAGTTGTCTGTGATCTATTTTGAATTTTTTAATCAAAACTGTATCTAATTTCGTTTGAGTGAAAAAGGACACCTTGCTCTGCTTTGATTCCCAATGAAAACTCTTAATTTCTAATTATTTATCGTTTGTATTTTCCGCTCCGCTCAAATTCAGACCCAGTCATAATCGTTGTTATTTATCCGCCAACGTTTATCTCCCTTTCCCTCTGTTAACATTTTTCAGATGATTCCCAGTTTGAACATAAAATAAAAGACGCCTCTTCAAACTAACATTTTCAAAAGTTTGACAACTCGAAGTGTATTACTACACTTCTGTCATGGACCTTACATTTGATGGATTTGCGAATGTACCAAAATATAATGGAATTAAGCAATAATGCCCTTGTTATTCTCTGTCTAATTGAAAAAATTACAGTGTTAACCCATTCCCGAAATATGTAAATTCACATACCAGTTGTTGACAGCTGCCTTAAAGAGAGCCTCCTCCCTTTTCTAATCATAGTGAAAAAGGTTCTAGGTTACTTTTGGTTTTTTACAAGAGGAATCGTAATTACATTGTGAGAACTGAATATTTACGAGTTTGAGGTTAAGCGGCTTATAAGAAATAATAAATGATACTTGAGGCTGGGAGGATAAGTTTTAAGTCCTCGAATTTTCCAAAATGGATTTCTTGGTGCGTTGTAAGCTAAATGCCATAACTAGAATACCTATGTGTTTGTGCACCAATTATTGCCACATGAATTTTGTGCACCGATTGCTGCGACTGCTATGAGACGATGTCGTGTCTCGTCGCGTTTTTTGGTGACATATTAACTTTCTTTAACATGTCAGATAATTTTTTTAATAGTTTGAAAGTATACGTATTGAAAGTATCAGGGTACTTACCTAAGTTTAAGAGTTCGATTCCACCACTTAAGAAATCGCAAAATGAAAGCGATGTTTTTAAGGAGGCTCCGTTGCTCTAGTAAAGTTTATGCGTTAAGTTCAGCTATAAATTTTGCCTTCGGCTAAAAACATGATGCAAACAGATATCTTCCGATTAAGCGTATGAGCTGGAAATAAGATTCAATCAAAAGTAATCATCGGTATTACGCAAATGTGACAAGTAATAATTGGACGACCAACAGTATCACGTAACCAAGTTTATGCCAGTCTTAGTGGAAATTGATTACCAGATGGAAAACTATGGTCGTTTTTGCGAAGTTCCACTGTCAGATACTATGAGTAGGATTAACTCAACATCTCGGAAATAATTGCAGAGAAGAATGCCTTAAGGATACAGTCGTTACGGAGAAGTCTGTGATTTTATCATATAAATCACTTTAGGTAATGTAAAGTTCCGGCGAAAAGTGCGATAGGCTCCGCGCAGACGCCACAAGGAAATTTAGCTATCGTACAAAGCAAATTAGAGAGTTCACAGACTCTTATCCCGTGCTGTGATGTTTCTGAGTGGAAATTATGTGGAAAGAACTCTTTCCCTTAGACACAGAGCTAAGTCCTTCGTTCAGTATAACAACACAAGTGGAATTTCGTTGCTAGTTCCCACTATTTTCTGTCGATTTTTCTGTTGCGTGATCTGAGGTTTTCAAGGAATTAGCAAAATTAAGTTTTCACAGTTTTGGGTTTCCTGTATTGCTTTTTAAATAATAAGCGAGAAATAATGGAAAATGAAATTCTTTCTTGCCATCTTACGATCAGCTCCACCTTGCTTGAAAGGATTATGAGCAATGAGACGAACTCTGAACATTCAATAAAATGGTTTTCATTTATTTTAGATAATGTGTCGGCCGGTATGGTTTAGCTATTACTTTATTACTTTATAGAGATCTTACGAATCCTTCTTTTATTCACTTTAAACAAGTCAGATGTTTTCACGCAGAATTTTGTATTTTTCCCTGTTGGAAGTTCAAAACTTTAAAGTGAACAATATGTGATAAATATAATGTCAAAAGACCTTTTTTTCGCAAGAGCCGGTTTGTGAGATTTGGATTTTAATCATTAAAAACTTACTTTATATAGTTCGATATGTTTTGTAAATAAAAAAGGAAGTGTCCACAGCACATATTTCATTAAGAAAAATCTACAAATTTAGCCAACGGAATACAAGCTTAATGAATAGAATATCCAGGATATTATCTTGGCCTAATCCAATATATCATTAATAAAATCTACTTTTAAAAACCGGAAACGTTATTAGCCAGTGTTCATTGAAGAGAATCAGTTGAAAAGTGAAACTTTCGGCGAATTTTTCTCCTCCTAGCTCTTAGAGTAAAAGTATTATTGGATGCCTAAAGATTTGAAGAAATAACACTAGTTAAACCAATTCAATATGGTATTGTTACATCGTGAAAATTTAGTCTTACATAAGAAGGGTACACAATAGGGAGAATAACGGATAAACTAATTGAAACAGCTTTCAATTTAGTTTTTTAGTTTTTGATCATCAGTGGCACATTACATACCTGTAACATCTGTCAAATTTAGCCAACTTCAGCTTAAAAACTTCATAAACGTAGACAAATGAGAATTATGTATGACACAATTTCAGTGCGTACTGCTGGTTGACTTACTGACTTTTTTAAGCGAATGAGAGTACATTTCATGTAGCAGAATAAAACGCCCACGTAGAGAACTAATCACTGATTTTTACTTTCACTTTCTGTCTACGTGCAATTCAGTGGTACCAAATTTAAATACAGAAATTCTAATAAATCGTATAGAGATAGAATTTCAGGTAAAATTATATCCCATTAGTTTGTAAATGTTACGGTTCTTCGACCGGTAAAACAGTAATTTAATCAGTGACTATAGATAAAAATAGAGCTTGATTTCCATCTCTATTTGTTGTTATATCTTTATCTTCTTTCTTTTTTGTTTTTATTTTGTTTTTTGTTTTATTTGAGAAAACAACATACTTTTAATGCATGGCAAGTCTCCAACCACGAAAGCTGTGTTATTACCCGAGTCGAATTATTTTGTTGTATTTTTTTCAGATCACAATGACTTTTTGAATTGAAACGTTTACGAATACACACCTTCGATTCTGATTTTGCAGTCTGAGTCACAAATATTGGATCTTTTAAATATATATCAAATAGGATATTGACTTTTTCTCTATTACATTCCTGTATGTTCTTAATATTGTCTTAGTCCGTGTATCGTGATCAATATGTGATTGAAACAGCAGAAATTAATTGTCATCTCTCCCATCAAACTTGCGATTTGTTTTCAAACTGACTAAAAATGAGTTATCGTATATTGCATTCTCATATTGCATCACAATCAAATTCAGTTAATGTTAACGAAAATCAACGAGACTAGCTCTAAACACCGAGACCGTGTTACTACTGTTTAACTTCACATATTTGCTGTTAACCACACTAAAACGCTTACGATCTTCAACAATAAACGCGTCTCAAGTTTGACAAATTAAATCTGCCCACGAAATACTTGGTCGATCAAAAAGTTTTTCATTTGGAGACAAGGATACGAAACATTTGACTTGCCAAAGCTCGGAATTCAAAAGTCTGGAATATGTTTTCAAAATTCTAGAGCACGCAGTCGTTTTCAATCTTTCCTTGTTGAATTATCCAACAGAACTGTTTTCATTTGATTTAGCGCCCTCCGGTTAAAAGTCGTCTGACCGCATATTTTTTAACAGTTCATGTCAACCAGGTTAAGTTGATAGAGCACCATGCTCGAACCAATGATTAAGTATTCAACTTTATGAAAAATCGCTTCAACCCAATCGACCTTCAATGAAAATAACTTTAAAAATTTTCAGTGGAGTTCGAAGTTACTCCAGGGAAATAAGATTGAATTCTGCACCTGCGTCAGTTCTATTTTCATTTTCCACCAATCGTAATTTGTTTAGTTAAGTTATCATATTTAAAATCATGTCGATATTTCTCGCTGAAGAGCCATTAACTATGGTCTAAGCAAGATAGGTCAAGCTAAAAAGAATTCTTCATCTCCTCACCTTTATGTGGAGTTTACACTGCCGACACAGTTATCATTCATATGGTTGAAAATGTTGGAGGGATTGACAGTGAATACCAGTTTGGTCAATTTGCATGTTGAATGAGGTGTCAGAGATTCTAATTTACGCTTTTTTTAAAATAATAAGAAAAATTATTGTTTCGTTGTAAGATAGTGCTGTTTTATTTTATCTCTGTCTGTGATCTGTATCACAAAGGCAGCAATCAGCCGTTCAGAACCGTGTGGTGCCATTTAATTTACAAGTCATTTTCAAGTTGCATCAGATTCATGTTTCATTAACTGGACAAAGATTTCGCACGTAAGACTCGGTTCTCTCATCTTCTGATAAAATTTGCCTGTTTACTCAATTAGATACATATATAACTTTGGAAAATTTTTACTTCTCACATAAATCAGAAAAAATTGCGACGATTGCCTTCGAAAATTCATGCTCCAGCTCTGAAAGAAGTTTAGCGACGGTCGCAAGATGAAGTTTTGAGACAATTTCAGTTGTTGCGGGATTATTAGCCAATTTAAATTTGATGGGAATTAAGCTGATCCTATTCATACGTGCCCTTATAATTTTGGAATTTACATAAAAAACGAGAATTGGACTAAAGTTTTCATTTTTTGTGCTCTTATTATTGTACCTTAATGAACGATATCAAATCTATTCGATAAGATACGTTTTCTTTTCAGGAAAGCCGGGAAAGCCCATTGCGCAAGACCGTAAGAAGACTACTCACCTCGTGTATTCTGGATTAAAGTTGAGTCCAAATCAGTAAGCTGAAGGATATAAAAAAGAGAATGACAACATGATTATTACAAGAACGACTTTCGATATGACTGTGCTGTACCCGGAGAACCAACAAATACTCGGTTTCCGCCTGTTGTGAAATACAGCATTAATTTTGCGTTGCAGTAGATAGCGACACGCAGTTTTGGCAGAAGATAGGGCCTGGTTTCGTGGCAAAAACTTAACGGGTTACTGATATTTCATCTGAACAAAAGATTGTCAACATTTCAGCGACGTCATTTGAGTTACATATGGTATGCAACAACATGACAAAAAACACTGGCGCAACACCTAGGACTACAACTGCTGAAAAATCTATTTTATTTCGAACTATAGATCATAATCTCATTGTGATTAAGGCCGGGAATCACACCATCAGTCAATGAATAGTTGTGTATCTAATTATCTAGCAAGGTAAACTTTTTCAATGAAACATACCTGCCTCATTCAATTTTCGCCGCCGCCGAATAGTTTAAATTGAAATTACAAAGCAGAGATCCCTAAGTAAACTCAACAGTTTATCAACTCTGCCATTCCTATTCGTTTCATTTAAAATGACTTTCTGTTATTTTTTATTTCCTCTGACTTTTTATTTCAAACTTGGCATAAAGGCCAATCCCTGAGACATCCGTGACATGATATTTTAAAATCGCTACAGCTTTGTTTTCATTTTTTTATTTGCCCCACTCAACCCGCTCTATGTAAACACTGTGTGCTTTATAGGATTGTTATCAAATGCCTCCTAATTCCAGTAGATTTGTGCAAATGAAAAGTCGCCATTAAACGGAAGATTATCTTATCAAGTAAAAGAATCTTAACAATAAATAAAAGAAGCAAGGAATCTGAAACTTAAACAAGGGTGTATCATGAATTTGGGATAATGAAAGTGTCGAACTAATCATATATTTGTCTTTTCTGTGATTCTTTATTTTGAGATGTGTTGCCTTCCATTATATTAACGCTTTCATCTAGAGTTTTTGCACTTGTGATCTCATAATTAAATCTCAAAAATTGAAAAAGGGAAATTTTCATTAAGTTTTGTCAATAACAATATTCCTTTTTAATTTACTTTTGAACAAACTTTTGATGTCGGTTAGTATGGCATTTAGTCATTGCTTCTTATCTATTTGTTTCAGTAATGATGCCAATATGAATTGTGTTAGGTTATAGCTCGATCTCAGGTGCAAGATATATCAATCACTTTGCCAAGTTAACATTTAGTGATTTTTTGAGGTGTTAGAAAATCCACGTCTTCCCTTGAATGCTATTGATTTGAGTGCCAAAACGGCTATAAAATGAACTTAATAATATATTAATGAGCTGCTGTTGTAAAGACAGAGAAGGAGATGCATTTACTCGTGAGAATATCAGAGAAAAAAGAGTAGAATATTATTGATACCACTTGGGGTGATCCTAGAATGCATGTGAGTTCGAGCAGAGTTTTGTGTTTTGTGGTTTGAACAGTGCATAATTCTGCCTTTCGCTGGGTCTTCCATGCGAAGAACCATTGCTAAGCACTGAGCATTCCTCACTTTTTCTCACCTTCAATTTTGGATTTGTGGGAGAACAGGTTATATGCAATATATATGAATCTTCCCAAGAAAGCTCCACGAAACACTATTTTTTGTTATGAAGAAATGGGGATATAACTGTACCTTGTTTTCTTCAAATTTCTTAGTAGATTTTTTCCTATTCTGAAAAATTTCCCAACGACGAACTCAACCGAAAAGCTGGGTGATCGTCCAGGTTGTCCTTCTTCAGTGCTCGCAAACACAGGAAACTCATCAAAACTTGAAAATATCCTCAATAAATACCCCCACTGATTGATAATTGTGTTTGACAACATCTGCTGCTCTCGATTCTTTTTATTGAATGAGGGATGAACTCAAACTGTAAACCGCGGCTCGGTTTCCACCGCAACTTTAAGACTTAAATGAAATCAGTGAAATTAAACCTTTCTGCGGTACATATCTAAGCGCAATTTTAAACAACGGATTAAAAGTGACTAGCTTTCGTCTGTTTATTTGCATTCTGTGGGGACGAAAGCTCTGCATGTTTTGATACTGTTCCACAGGAGTTGTGAATCCAATATTTTTCCTCAAAACGCACGCTGCGTTTCTTATCTTTTAAAATAAATTGTTTTCTTGCTTGGATAGAATTTTTTTGACATTTCCTTCGTCAATCTCTTTTGAACGGGGCTGGGTGGTCCACAGAAAATTGGTAGATGCTGTGCGTTTCTCACCACTTTAGATTACACGCACAAAAAATTATTTTTGTTCATAGTATTCAAACACGATGTACCATGTTGGTAAATGTTTTCCAAACTTATACAGTTACTATATTATGACGGCCCTTTGGCGGACATATTTCCTGTGAAGCGAACAGGCATTATCTAAGTTTCACGTAGAGTTAAATACAAAGATGAAGAATACAGATGAACAAAAACAAGGCCAACGAGAAACCTTTGCGAACAGAGGTAATCAGTTTGGCAGATGAACTGCAGTAACCCCTACGCGTAAGCAATTCTACAATAAACTGTTTTCCTCAGGAAGTTTGTTACCAGGATACGGGAAGACATTACTTCGGAATCAATCAGAATTCACCCGAGGACACTCGTAACGAGTTAACGACATTAAAAAAAACACATAAAAATTAACTTCAAGGGATATTTGGAATGCCATGGTTAACTTGTTTAAAACTGAGCTGGACTAGGAATCAGAAGTCATCCACGCACGCTCAGCTAACAACGTAAAAATACTTTCAGCTCTCATTTTTGAAACTCCTGAGGAGTGAGCGTGATATTTCAGTTGAAGCATCACTGAGAACTCATGTATAAATTGAATTTCCGGAATGGTCTTGTAGTGTAATACTGCTAGCTACTATACTTTGTACAAATTTTGATTGAATCAGTATAAATTTCGATCAAACTGAACTTATCGAACGATGCAATTGTGTTTAGAGTTGTAAAACTTTGGAACTATATGACAAAATTGTAAGTTTGGGGAATGGCAGATGTTAAATTCGTTTTGATTTTGAGTGAAGCCGGTCAAGAAAGCAAACTACAGGTATAATGTTTCAGGCATTCGACCTCTAGGCTGCTTTTACATAGTTGCAAGGTAGTTTAGCGAATCTTGCTACTAAAACGCAAAAGTTTCTCAAGAGTTCAGTAATTTAGTTTGCGTGATAACTTCCTAAAAAACCTGATTAGATAATGATTCATTATCTATAGCCTCGACAAATCATATTTCGGGAGGTACCAAAAGCAGAAGTCACGGCGACCGAAAAAAAAACAAAACAAAACAAAATCAAATAAAACAAAAATTATACACTGTTAATTTGCGCTAAAACATCGATTCATCTTTTAGGAGAAATATCAAGAGATGAAAGACAAATACTTAAAAAAATGTCTACATTTACCAACACTGATTTAGAAGCAAATTTATGAAAACATTTATAACGAACAACAAGGAAACTTTAAATTATCATCTCAGAATCCAAAGGATCAGTGAGCCTAAACTTTTACTCTTTTAATTGTAATAAGATATAGCAAACTGCAAATTTCAAAAGTATTCCATCGATTTTACGTGGGATGGAGACGGATCAAATACCAAATATTGCTGTTGTTGTTGATTTGATTGCTATTGTTGTTGCTGCGTTTTTTTTGGAAGTTTTGCATGGCCAAAGATGACCTATTTCGTCATATGCACGACTATGGTGTCACGATTGATGAAGAGATGACTATTACAAGTAAAAAAAAATGAAGAAAGACATAGATCTCTGAATGAGTTGATTCTTCTAAAGATAGAGATAAGAGAAAGAAAGAAAATAAGAAAGAAAGAAAGAAAGAAAGAAAAGAACAAACAAAAAGCACATTTTTTTAACGTGACTATTTTGTTATTCAAGCGTGGAATGAAAATGTTTTAGATTATTTCGCTTGAGCTACAACTACAGCAGGTGACAGTCAGCAGCTCTACAAACTCGGACCTTTTGATCGCACATGACTCGTCGATTTAAATTACTTGTGTAACATTTGCACACTGCAGTCTCATCGAAAATTTAACCAATTCAAAAAGACAGGTGTTGACATAAAAAAAAACGGCTAATTTTCTGAGATGCACTAAAATAAAGCTTTTACAAACCTAATGTCAAAAAGTATCCGTGGGTGAAATAAGATTTGTTTAGATTTTATCAGTTCTGACACTTAAGCAAAGTCAGAAGAAAAAGAGCTACTTTATTTACATGCCCTCCATGGAACAGTTTTAAACAAATTTTAATGTGATAAAATTAGATTAACATGTGGGTCTCAATTCGAATCATTCCTTTATGTTTCCTAAACCGTGACAGTTCAGATCAATATCAGAGTAATATCCTTGATTTTTTAAAGACGTTGGGTAGGTATATATTACGCAATTTACAACTCTCAATTCCCAATACCTGTATAATAAGTCGATTTTGAGAACGGTTTCTTCCCAACTGACTTGTTATAAAATGCGTTACCAGGAACCTGTGGGCTCCTGGTGTTACTCCTGCTGGTTGTTCTGATCTTCAATTTTTCTGAACGCTTACAACGTTGTTGAGGAGTTAAGTGGTTTCTCCTCAACATTTGAATTGTCCCAGAAAGTCTTGAAGACACAAAAACTTTTCTAAAAGTAATGAGTTGTCGTTGGCGAAAATTTTTTGTTTTTTTAATTTATAACTAAGCAATCATACACATGCAAATTTTCTTAACCATTTGTTCTCTTAAACAATTAATCCTGATACTTTGAAAACGGCCCAAATTTAAATTCTACTCGTCACTTTCGCGTTCCCATCATCATTTTGGATAATAAAAAGATTTTGAATTCTGCATTTTTTACTCCCACGAATGTTTCAGTGAAAATCACCGATCTATTTTGATAACCCTATGGATTTGTAGGCCAATACAATGTTGCCGTTCTCGAACGTTTTGATTAAAAGATTTATCAATCAGTTCGTGGAGCTTGATCGCCTTCTTTACATATGTTATTAACAATAATAGTTACGAATTGTAGATCGATCGGCTACTAGCAGCCTATAGCTAACGCTCGCTCAAATTCTCAAGCTGGTTTATCGTCCATTCATATTCCCTTTAGACTTAAGTAACTGTAAAAATCACTACAATTAGTTTTCCTGGTTAGAGACTAGCCCGGCTTCTCCGAAGTTGCTTGATCACTAAGAAGAAATGTCAATAAAACGGACATTAGTCTAGCTTTCAATAACATAGCTTGCCAACTCTGAAGAGAGCTGGTTCTTGCCAAGAATATTTTTTATCTATGCATGTTATTCGTTAGGTGATCTGAAATGTTATCTCCTGCTCCGGAAATCATCCTCATCGGAACACCGGTTAATGTCCGCGCAGAGCTTCGCATCGTAGCTTGACGACTACTCGAATAACGGCTGCCTCGCATGAACGGCAATTGTTTGCCTCCCGATGAACAAATGTTTAAGCAACCGGAACGAAAATCTTTGCTCATCGCTAAAAGAATTACTGGGTTGATCACGTGCTTGATGTAGTACATCGCCAATGTAATAAGGTTTACATAGTTGAAGTCTGGCTTCGACGTTGTTTCTGGGCTAAATTCAGTCAGTAACATGATCACACCACGAGGAAGATAGCAAATTTGGAAAGCCAACATCAACACCACTAGAATCCTAACCAGGTGCTTTTTCTGTCGGAGGCGATCATTTATCGTTTTCCTCATGGAAGAGTTCGGCAGAAAGGATTCACTTCTCGCCTCGATTTCGTCTTTTGCTCTGAGTAAACGGATGATGTCAAAGTATGCCAGACTCTGAACCACTAGTGGTAAAGTTATGAACAAAATCACCAGATACATCTCGTACGCGATTCTGTAACCTTTATTGGAGAAAACTGGAAAACAATAGAACTTCCCATCGGGAAACAAAGTGACCTTGATGAAAAGTAGCATCGGAACACCGGCTGTCACATAACAGGCCACCCACACTGCTGGAACTACCATACTGACGCGTCGGAGAGTAAGTGTCGGCTTGAAGGGCGAGACAATGGCTCGATGCCTCTCCAGAGCGATCACGGTCTGTGTGACTACTGAGACACATACGAAAACATCTTGGAGGGGAAAAAATATTTGACACAGCACATCACCGAAAGGCCAACCATGATAAATTTCGATGATCCTTAGTGGTGCCGCAAGAACACAAACTCCCAAGTCTGCGGCACAGATGTTTGCGATTAGTAAATTGCATGGTGTTCTCATTTCCCGCCAACGAGAAAGTGTCGCTACTATAAGAGCATTCCCAAACAAACCAGCCACGATAATTAAGGAGAAGAAGAGCGTACCAAGGATAACGTACAGTTGAGGCACTCCTGCAAACGGTGGCGCATTTAGTGTCGAATTTGACGGAAACCGGGTGCTAGCATTGATCGTCAAATTCCACATGTGAATTGTCGAGTTTGCAGTCATTCTGGTAGCACTTCGCCCGATATATTCGGTATTATTTTGTGTTTTACAATCTAGAGCTGCAGCAAATCAGATCAACTGCCCATTCATCAACAAAGTGAAGTTAAAATCAATTTTTTGGTGCTGTTACGTTTATATTTAACTTGTTATGTGCGGAGGCGGCACAAGATCGATTGCTTTGATGTCAAAAAGAAGAATAGGCGACGGATGGACGTATGTCCCATAAATGACAAACCTTCACCTTGAACTGAGTACGTTAATGAAGATTTCTGACTGTGCCCTTCGCAAATGTAACTTTAGAGGGGCAGTCCTTCAAAAACTTCTGTTAACAAAATAGACATTCTGCCTGTTTCTGCAAGAGTTGCACATCAAACAAGTGTGATTTTAAAATCGTCATTAATTTGCAACGCTTGAAGCAAAAAGCGATGGGTATTGTCAGTGAAATGTTGATGTGATGTGCAAATAGCATTCTACCCAAAACAATTTGATGTGAAAAACCTGTTTAATTAGTTTTGTCTTCTCACACCTCTGGTAATTTAGTAAGGATAAAATTTCATTCTAGAAGATTTTAAAAGATAGCGGAAATTGTAAAGGAGGTTAACATGAACATTAATCGAGAGATCGCGCGGAAAACTCCGTCCGCATTGAGATGAATTTTCCTGGCGCAGATGTGCGCCAATTATGTAAACTTTTTTTTCCGTCTCGTTTATTTTGTCGGGACTTTAGGTAAACAAAATATCGTTCACCAGCACTCCTCTTATTACTGCCCTAAGAGAGCAGGGACTGAGTTCCTTTTCCCAACCCTCTTTTGCCATTGCGGCGACTAAAAGCTTTTATGGACGGCTATAAATGCGGCTAAGGTTTTTAATGAATGAATAAAAAAACAATGATATATTTCGAGACAGTCTTCAGTGGGTAACTTCAATCAGTAAATTTGCAATTTTTTAATCAAACTGTTCAAGTTGTGCCGTAGATTTCGATGTCTGAAACAAAAAGTTATTTTCACAACGAAACTTAATAGCTTTACTTTTCATGAAATAGCCCTTCTGACTTTACAAAGTCTCCGCGTGTTCCCCATTAAAATTTCAACATTTTTCAGTGGCGACAGAGCGTGAAAACAATACTCAATTGTTACAAATTAAAATTGAAAGAAAAACTCCAAATAAAGGTGCACGAATCATCTGTCGTTATAAGTTTTCCATCTGTCAGTCGGCGGTTACAAAAGCTTTTTGAAATACTTGACTTAATCTCATGATTGTTGCATTTTATCAGCTGCGGGAGAGAAAAAAGAGAAACTCTCTAAAAGGCAGCGATCAATAACTTGCAAGGCAACAAATTAAATTGGTTACTTTGATTAGATCGATCAAGTCGAACTATTTCCATGGTCGCAACTCTGAAAAAGCGCTGAGTCCAGGGGAGAGTAACTATGGAGAAAAAGCACGAATTTAGGGATGAATGTTACTTATAAGAGTCATTTTTATTAAGCGAATATTGCATCAAACTTTTGATCTTTTCACTTGTCTCGAATTTCCTTAAGAAGTTATTTTCATAGTTATTTAAATCATTTTCCACACGTCAGTAAAACCAGAAAAAATATTGGCGTATTTCTCGTTCGGTCGAATTGCCAAAATAATTTTCACTCAGTTATCTGAATTCATGTCTGCTACCGAAACTTTGATCCTTACCCTATGCCTTGTGACTTGAAACCCCTCAAAGAAGTCATAAAAAGTACTCAAAAACAAAAAATTTATTTCTTTTTATGTCTGGCAATGTGCAAATGAGGAGTTGAGCTAATTACAGACTTTTAAAACTAATTTTTACAACGTTCTTTGAATATTGCAAAAAAAAAGAACCCATTTTTTCCTTTTATTCTTTGTTTTCTTTTTTAAACAAAAGAATATCAATTCAACGTTGTATTAGTGGAAAGAAAAGATATTACGTTTAAAACCGACCGAAGTGATTTGCATTAAGTTGGCAGATTAGTTCGGTTAGCGCTCATATTAAGACAAAGAGCCAAAATAAAACTAAGGTGTATTTTGCCAAATGGTGAAGTATTTATCAAAACTGGCTAGTATTAAGAATCTTATTTGGAATGAAACAGATACAGCTGCCACCCAGGTAACTAAGTCTCTGACTTAGAAGGTAAAGCAGTCATCTTTTACCGTGATAATTATCTCGACAAACATCAACAAAACTTGCCGGCTTTTAGCACGATAACGGAAAATTTTATTCTTTAATTCTGACGGCAGCCGTTTTGCAACATATTTATTCAATTTTTCGAAACTTTCTTTCTTCTCCATAACCTCAAAACCGAACATCTTCATTTTTCCTTTGTCCGAAGCAAAAAAAAAAAAAACCACCGAAAATCAGCTTTCATGTTATAAACACTTCAGATTAACATGTGGGTCATATCTAAGAAACCTTTTTTTCTCCGTTTTTTTTTTCAGTATCAAAACTGAATCATAAGATACACGTTTTAAATTTGCGATAAATTTATGGAAAAAATCGCACTTAGGCTAACATTTCTTTTAAAAAGACGAATAATGACAAATAGGTCAGTTACGTGTCGATAGCATCCTTTCAAAGACAAACTTTGAGCAGCTGCAAGTGTTTTAAGGTGATTCCATAAAAAAAAAAATTCCAAAATTTTTTTTTCAAACTTCCCTTAAATGTTCCCTATCAATGTCTGTTTTGAAAAATACAATTAAAAAGATAGGTCACCGGGCTTGTTTAGGATATATGATGGGCCAAACTTACCCTATTTATGCCTGTGCTGGAACTAATCACGCGCGTCATTTCATCGATTCACAATACATTTAAGAAAGGTGAAAGCAAGGGTGTTTTAAAGTAACACTTGAAAAAAATTTATAGGTTGAAAGTCTCAAGAGTATGGAACAATTTGATATATAATTGAAATGACATCAACTCCAAACGTACCTCGAGTCGTTGCTTACAAGGTCATAATTTGTACCATCGAGTAACAGGCTTCATGCACACTTTAAGTTTTTTGTCCACCTTGGTTTTTTTTTTAATTTCCCTTATTTAAAGAGGATATTTTGTACACCAAAATTATGCAATACAAAATGTTCGACACCGTGCTCGTTCAAGAGCCAAAGGGCATCGTACCTCTTTACCTGGTCCATTTATTGAAAAACAATACTGTGTTCTTGGAATGCGCGCGCTCATTCCCCTGAGTTCGTGGTTTGTATGCACAGTACACGATGCGCAGTGCAATAGTGAGGAATCACCTTAACGTTGGAGAGGACTGATTATATTCTCAAGCAAATACAGCACGTCACGATAATTTGTATCACGTGAAGAAAAAATGATGGGACATACTCTCTTTTGATCACTTGCATCCCCGTTCCGCTCAGGTTGGAGGAACAAAGACAAACTCGTTCCTAATGCCTCCCTCTCTCTCTTTCCAGGAGCGTGGAGGAGAGAGACCCTGAAGATTCAACCTGGCGAGGATAGACGTAAAAAGTATTCATTTAGGTGATAGCGGTCACTACTAACAAGGTATGGCAATCCTGATAATGGCCGTGAACGTTTACATAATCGCTTAATGGCTGTTTCGTGATCTCTTTCGCTATCGTGTATGTGATCTTGACTGTCGGATAAGTAAGATATATTGCACACTGTCTAGAATCCCGTAATCAACCCTTAACATGCAAACAGATTGTCACGAAGTGACGCAGTTGCGTGCGCTTAGCCGAAATTCATCGTGATCATTTAGTCATGTGATTCAGGCATGGATTTAAAAATTTGTTTTATATTAAAGTTAAGAATAGAAATGTTGGATACCGTAAAGGTCACCAGCGATGTCAAGGTTAATTCGGCCAGACCTAGAGATATGTTGAATGTTCCACATCGAGGAATTCGAAGCAAAAATATTAGCAAACTACTGGTGCAGCGGAAAACTACGCAATTTTGAAATAAATAGCTTTAGTCGCGGTAATCATTCAGCCTCTTATAGGGTCGAATACAACTTAAATTCGTAATCATAACATTTCCGTTTGTGTCGTGCACCTATCAAGATGAATCTGACGGTCACAATGTGATTACAACTGACAGAAAGATAAGTTTACACAAATAGTTCGCGGTTTGATAATAGCGTCAAAAACTCCATCCAATTAGCACCGTGCACTTTTCTTCAACAGTAAAAAATGGCAACAGACCAAATTGGAATTCTTTTTTAACACTATAGTTTAGTTTCACTCGCTTGGACAAGGTTTCAAGTTAATTTTAATTCTGAAGACAGTTCTTCTAAGGTAGTATTCATTTTCAAAGTAACGAGAGACATTATCCTTGTATAATACAGTGTCCTGATTACATCCTGAGGGTCTGACAAACTGAGGAAGAACTTTCGGACAGTCCATAAAATAGCGATCATGCCGATGGCCTAATGATGGATGACGCTCACTGATAATGTGCGGGCGCATGAAATGCCTTTCGTTTAAGTGGACTTTGTCATTCAAAGGACAGTTTTCATAAGCTGGTGGCTAATGATCTACGTAACTTTAAGCTGTAGTTCTGTGTACTAAGGAGGCAGTAAATATATTGAATGTTCACAAACGAACGCTTGGAAATGACGGACCGAGCAGGAAAAAAAAACCTACTTTTAACAGTAAAAGCGGTAGACGGGAACTCTGTAATCGAAAAAAAATTACGTTTACTTGTCATTCCAAAGAGAGGAGAGCCAACCTTTTTATCGGAATTTACACAATACAATAGTTCGATCGATAGAGACCGCCTGACATAATTATCTTATGTCAATTATGGTTGCACTGATCAAACCGTTTAAGAATATACTAAAACTCGGAGGAACCATTGAATTATTTTACTTTTGTATAAAACGCCAGGCTGCAGTATGCGAGAATAACAAATGTTGAATCAACTTGCTCAATCCGTTCACGAAAGCCCAAAAGAATTTTCAATATATGTGCTACTACAGGCTGCGAACAGAAATGAGGTTTCTTGAAAAAACATTTCTTTGTAATTATAACAATTTAAACAGGCTTACAGAGACTGAAAAGTGGTACCTGGTTCAGCTGAAGTGTTTTTGTGCTCGGTCAGTATAATTGCGCAGAGCTTCACTTTGGGAAGTTCTCAGTCAACCGAGGTCTTCAACGTGCTATTTCGTGATCGTTAA